GTAAAAAAACTTTAGAAATTGTGCGGCACAGCTGATTGTGACACAGCTGGTCATCAGAACTTTAAAAAAACCTTTTTAAAGCGTTTTTTTTTTACTACCGGTTCGGGGAAATCCTGCTTTCTAGCGAATCCAAACTGTGCGGCACAGCTGTTTCCTCCCCCCTTGCTGTTCCACTTACTTTTGCCAGCTCAGAACCTTTCTTAATCCGGTGTGCATGCGCGCAAAACACATGTTTGGTGCGCATGAGCGCACACAGCAAACCGTTAGCAGACTTCAGAGCATTTCACCTCTGCTTTAGAGAAACAGTTTACTTGTTGCCCAAGTTTTCAATCCACCATCCTCGGTTTTGCAGATGGTCCCACCCCACCGTTCACAACTAACCAGAATTGCTACCACGAGATCAATTTGGGGCCCCCACCAAGGCAAACGTTCTAAAAACAACAGAGTTGAGAAATCCTGAATTTTTTCCCCTTATCGCCAAAGAAAAGCCCGCCTTGAGGTTGATCCGGCATAAGGCGCTATTTCATTGGTGTTCTCTATGGTTCGTAATGGTGCCATTGAGATCGCACAGCCAATCTGGATTGCAATCCGAGAAGGGGATGAGAAACTTTCCAAAACCATGTTTTTTGCCCTCTGTGTCTTTCCATAAAACTGTGTTTGACACCCCTAGGTCGGAGGCTGTATTCTGCCGGTTTGCCCCGGCTCAGGTGAACCAGGAGAGGTGGCAGGAGGCTCCACCCACACACCCAGACGTCATCAAAGGCACACTGCATGCACAGAAGGTTATATGCATGCGCAGAAGCACCACTCGTGCGCGCTCCCAGTTCCGAACCATTAGCGAACATTATAGCATTTCGTGCTTGCCCTAGGTCAACTTCTAAATGGGTAGTTAGCAATATATATACGTGTGTGTGTTGCATTTGTGCTGATAAATAAATAAAAAGAGACTAGTATAGATCTATTTCAAGCTATTTAGCTCTCATCAGCTAGCCATACCCTTACTGGGAATTGAACCTGGGCTGTATTACATATCAGGCAGTTATATTAGCCACAAAGCCACAGGCTCTCCTCCTTTATCAGTTGTGACACAATACATACCTATTTCCCTGGCCTAGCTGATAAAGGAAGAGATCCTGTGGCTTAGTGGCTAATATAACTGCCTGATATGTAATACAGCCC